TCTGTGGTACAGGCTGCAAAACTTACCGTATGCATCAAGTTGTACACCAGACAATATATTCTGAGTCATATCCTACACATAGTTTTGTTTGTATCACGTGAGTTGTCTTAGAGAAGTGGAAGTCTAAAGCAACACTAGCCAGCATATTCGTACGAGTTCATACTCAACAGCACATAAAGTTTCCGCCAAAAGGCAATCAGTCGGGCAATGTCCTGATACGCATATTAGACTTCAGGCCGGAACATCCTCGTACGACGGCTAAATGAGCGCTCAGTAGCATGTTTTCTTTACGCAAAGGTATTTTGCGTCGCTTGCCGCCCACGGCTTGGTGTTATCTGCGGCGGCGGACGCCGCCCAGCATTGGGTGACTGCAACGCCGGGCGTCGGTCTACGTCGATATTTCGATCGACTCGCGCCTCACGAATTTAGGTTTTTGGGAAGAACGTTTGATATGCCGTGTACTTTTGGGCTCCAGCGCCAACTAATTTCTTTGTCTCACTTGGTTTTGTTTCTGATGAAGCACCCTAGTGTACAGCCAGCTCAGAGATGCAACTTGTGTGTGATCGTTAAAGTGTATGTTGTTGCCGGTACGGGCTATGCGACATTCTATGTGAACCATTGAATTACTAATAAATGCCGTGACTGCATGGTGCATAATGCTTCGGTGTGTATCTGCCTATATTTTAATGAAAGGTGACATCGAAAACTACGCAATGGAATCAGACGTGGAGTTGTCGGGAATTTTTAGAGGACACAAGTAAGTAAGTTTGGGGCTGCGTGGAACTATAAAGAAGAAGGAATGTTTTTAGGAAGAAACTAGGAGAAGAAGAGAAGCGTTGGAGAATAATGTGCTTAAGAGGAAAGTCTTGGTAAGTTGAAAAGGGAAAACACAGCGTAATGAAGGCTCCTGATGAAAACCCTCAAAACCTTACAGAAATTTACCTAATTTTCTTCATCTCATATTCCGGTTCTGCCGGCGTTCGCGCTTTTAGAGGACATCGATGGCTTTTACAAACTTAACGAGCGCTCGGGTGGAGAGTCACATTGACCCGCCCCCAAAGGTTTCCCGGAATGGTTTGCGAACGGCGCAGCGTAGCCTCGCCAATAGCATGCATAGCTGTAGGCAGTTAAAAGCGGATCGTTTGACATACAAAGTTTAGATTTACCTTGTGGGGTTGTCGACCTATGGCAAGTCAAAGTCAGGAAGTTTCTGCGAAGTTAATTTCTAGGGAATCGTTCAGTCTGATGCAACAACGAAGCGTTGAACGCAGCCATACATCCCTGAGATGCTTTCTTAGGCAACGCGAATATCGGATAAGCAATTAACGCTGACCTAAGGTCAGGTATGAAGGTCACACCAAGGTCAAAACCAACTTGTTTGCATTACTCTAGGGCTTGCTGTATGAGATAGTTTCTGGTGCTAATTTCGAATTTATTGTTAGCAGGGACCACCTTATACATCTTCCATAAACTTCTTAGAGGTCAGAATAGGTCATTAACCTGAAATGACCCATGCGAACATTTTGTTTCTAGAAGCGCACTGTACAGAGAAATCTTTGTCGCTTATTCAACTGCAAAACTCAGGGCAATCTTGCATGATTTTGGTCACCATGACCCTCAAAAGGTCAAAGAAGGTCACTGACCTTAAATGAGCATGTGACCTTTTGCTTAGATACAGTTATTCAGGATCTGAGGGCACTTTGGAGACAACTCTTGAATTTGACCTTGTTTCACCTTATTTTACCCGAAGGTCATGACCTAGGGGCCCCAAACTTTTACCTGAGTGAGTTCACGTACAGGTCAACACGTCCTGCAAATTTGGTGTCTCTAGCTTTCTTAGTTCCCGAGATCTCAGGGGGTCAAATC